CTGTGGCCAGGGATGGAGCTATGCGGCAGATTTAATATGTACAACAACCCTTCAGGCTTGTAAAAGGAAACTGGAACCACTTATATTTAAAGGCAAAGAGTTTATTTTATTTCTAGTTTTTTTATCTCAGCTTCCATTCACTAATCACAAAGCACTTAACTCACAAAACCCATTCAAAGGAAACAATAACTAAACCTAGTTTATAGATGCCTTGACTATTGGAGATATTATTTACACATACAGGGGCAGCCCCTATTACTCCGCATCCTTTTGCTATCCTTCTGACTAGGAAGGAATGTGATTTTAAAAGCTTTTATGACTTTCTTTTCCCCTCAGCCTTTTGGAGGGCATATATCTGAGAGGATTTTACAGGGTTTCCAGTATTTCCTCTTGAAGTCCTAGATTTCTTCCCAGTGGAGGCTTAAGTCCTAGCAATCTTGGCTCCTTTTGAGCAGAAACCAGAACAAAAACAAACAACAAAATGAAAAAAAATTAAAAAAGGAAACAAACCTTCCAGCTTAGAGAGCACATAGTTGCTCGGTAGAAATTGTTTTAAAATATCAAGAATAGGTAACAGCATTGTTTGAGCTTTTTAAGGTGGTGACGGTTGTAGTGGGTGTAATATAGAATACTCCCTTACTCAGAATTTTCAGAAACTGACACTGGAGTGAATTACTACTTTTTTTGGAGCCGTGGATCTTTATTTTATTGTCAGCCTGACTTCTAATATTTGAACAAATGTGATAACCAGTATGGAGTTAGTTTAGAAGGACAAAGGTAGAGCCTGATTGTGATAACTGATTATGCCATTAGGTAGATGGGTTTACACCTCTGTTTTTCACACCCTATGACCCCAGGGGTGTTGGAAAAGTAATGAAGCTTAAGAAGCTTCCTTATTTTAATAAGCTTAATTTTTATTCCACAGTGTCAATGAGATTATCAGGGAAAAATTAAAATATAAAGCAACATTTCTTTTCTGATAGTCAGTAAACTCAGAGATATCTTTCATGCTATCATTGTTTAGGCGAGGGAATTTTAGGCAAAACAGAACCCAAGGCCTAATGGAAAGAGCTAATGAGAACACTGTAATTCCTGAAAGAGTTGATCTGGGAGCCCTTATAAACAGGCCCTAACTTAGGCCATAATTGATTCTGTATTTGAATTCAGCTAGTGTAAACTTACAGCACCTTATCAACTTAAACTGACCTATAGTGGTGATTTACAGGTCACTGTGAGAATTCCAAAGTTCAGGAAGTTTGTTGTTGGTGGGGAAATCTTCCTTTATAGAAAGGTTTCTAAACCTAGGCACATTTGACATTTGGGGACAGGTAATTCTTTATTGTGGGACTGCCTTGTGCATTGGAACATGTTCAGCATCACTCCAGGCCTCTACTGACTAGATGGCAATAGCACCAGTAGATGCCAATAGTTGTGATAACCAAAATTCTCCAGATGCTGTTAAATTGTCCTTTGGATTAGGGGAGGGAGGGCAAAAACCATCCCAGGTTGAGAACCACTCCATTAAAAGTTACATTTCTAAAAATATACTATCTTGAGCTCTTTAAATAAAATCATAAAGCAAATTTGTAGTCTGAAAATATTTTACTTGAATTCTATAACTACAAAAGTAGATCTTCCTTCTCATCAATTAAATCTCTACATTTATCTGCTATGTGATTTTTTATTGGCTGACCATAAATATCTTTCTATGATTTCTCTGTGGGCACTCTTTTATTTAACCCATAGTTGAAGTGCTAGTCCTCATTTTCAATAGAAATTCCCATTTTGTGGTTGTTTAAATAAAACTGGAAGTAGGTGGTAAGCTTCTTTCTGGCAAGAACTAACTTAAACCTTTGTATTCTTTATATAGTGAACAGATACAGAGTATGCACTCAGGGAATGGCTATTGCATAAAGGATGAACATATAACCATCATTATAATATACAGAGTATTGTCACTCTAAAAATCCCCTGTGCTCTGCCTCTTCATCTCTCCCCTGGTAGCCCCTAATCTTTTAAGTGTCTCCATAATTTTTCTTTTCCCAGAATTCCGTATGGTTCCATCATACAGTGTATAGCCTTTTCAGATTGGTTTTCTTTACATAATAATGTGCATTCAAGTTTCTGTCATGCCTTTTCGTGGTTTGATTGCTCATTTCTTTTTAGCACTAAATTTTATTCCATTGCCTTGCTATACCACAGTTTATTAATTCACCTACCAAGAGACATCATGGTTGTTTCCAAACTTTGGCAATTATGAATAGAGCTGGTATAAACATGCCTATGTAGGTTTTTATGTGGACATCAGTTTTCAACTCCTTTGGTTAAATACCAAGGAGTGTGATGCTGGATCCTATGCTAAGAGTATGTTGTTTTG